TTTTACTCGAGTTTGTTGTGGCTAATTTGCTTGGGTTGTGGGTAATCTATAACTAGGATTTTTGGGTCATTTTTGCTTGATGTGTTTTTTGATATAATCTTATCTTAGATTTTTTTTTCTTCAATTCTATTGATTCAAACCAATACTATGGGGTGTGACTAAGGGGCCCATATACTCAATTGGGTGATTCAATGCATTTGTTGATTTGTGAAGAAGTTTAGGTGGTTTTGGTTAGTCGTTTGTTTGGTTTCTGCCCACTAGTGATGCCTTTCTAGCTAATTGTGCATTCTGTGGTTATTTTGTTGGGTTTTTTTGGCTAATCTGTGATGCATTGTGGTTGTTTTGGTGAGTGGACAGCCTTAGTTTGTGCACTGGTTATAAGGTGCACTGTAAATTCTCCTCACAAACTTCTTGTTTTGCTTCTCCAATCTTCAAGGCTAAGCACTATGGTGATGGGTTCTTCGCCAAAATTATTAGGTTGTTGATTTACTTGATTAGTTCAGTTTGTACTTTGCGAGCTTGTCGACTTTGCAATAGGACGCGCAGCTCTTCCCATTGTGTTATGATTTTCTTCCCCTGCCTTTGGTTTGACCTATTTGTTGGTCTGTTACATGGCGTTTTATTGGTCTTGTAGTTTCCTACTGCAAAGTAGTTGTTTGTATTTTTATTTCTTATAGTGCCATTGAATGGTGGTCGTGATCATTGTTTTGGGTGTATTTATTATGATGGTACATGACACACTGAGAATTATTATTGGGATAAGTATGAGAAACCAACATATACTCATCGGGGTTGTAATGATACTTTTTGAATACATCAGACTTCTATCAATTGTGCAGTTGCTCCTACTACGGACTCTTAGGATGATCTTTCATCTCACACCAAATATCTTCACTTTCTACACGTTCTCTTTTCTTCCTACCAGCCTTACTAATGGAGGCAACCCTGTATGTAAGGTCAATCAACTTCTTTGTCATCTTAAATCATTAATATAGGAGCTAGTACTCATATGTCTAGTAATTATTGTGTATTTTCTAATTTTCATTTGTAAAACTCATGTATTGTGTTGGCTGATGGTTCATTTCAACCAGTACATGGGCCGGACGATCTACGTCCTACTCAGTCCATGCCCTTAACCTCTAGTTTATTTGCTCCTAATTTTTTTGTTAACTTGTTATTTGTGAGTCAATTAACAAAGTCCTTAAAGTGTTCAGTGACATTCTCTCCTTTCTGTGTTTTTCAAGACCTCAAAATGAAGGTGATTGGAGTGAGAAATGAGCGCAATGGCCTTCTCTACTTAGATCTTGGTGATTCTATTCCTGCCTTGAGTGCTACTTGTGTCTCTCTCCTTGCAAAAACTGTGTCAAGTTATCTCCGATTTGAGCTTTTCTTCTATATGTTAGAATGTGAAACTTGTCAATTAAGTATAAACATAGCACTTTTCCTCCAAGTTCTTTTATTCGTCAGCCCAATTCATTTCATGTTATTCATACAAAAATTTGGGATCCTATAAGCATAAAAAATATTTTCGATTTTTAGTATTTTGTCATTTTTGTTGATGAATGCTCTCGGATGACTTGAGTATTTCTTATGAAAGACCGAATTGAATTGTCTAAGGTCTTATAGCACTTTTTATAATGAAATTCTAGTTTAGTTTGATACCCGTATTAAGGTTCTTCCGTCTGACAATGCATCCATCAAACTATATGTCCTCATACCTCCCAACAAAATGGCATTGTCGAACATAAATATTATCATTTGTGGGATGTTGCCCGCACCTTAATGTTTAACATGCATGTGCAAAACTATATTGGGTTGATGTTGTTCGTACTTCAATGTATCTTATTAATTGTATGTCTTTTCCCAAATTAAACAACAAATCTACTTTCTTAGTATTTTATCCAGATAGACCGTCATTTGGACTCCCTCTTCGTGTACTTGGTTACATTGCATTTGTTCACCTTCTTGGTCTAAGTCATAATAAACTTTTGCCTCACTCAGTTAAGTGTCTTTTTGAGATATTTTCATACTCAGAAAGATTATCAACGCTATGGTCGTGTCTCTTGTCGATACTATGCAATGATGATGGTACATTCTTTGAGACATTGTCTTTCTTTTCAAAATCAAGAAATACACTATCACCAGATTTAATCTTTTCCGATTAGGGGAGCCCTTGTTGCTAGTTGTACCAGACTATTTATCGTTTTCCTCCACAACTACTACACCTCCCTTGCAGGTTTATCGTTGTTCCAAAAACTACAGGTTGTTCCATATGCTCTAGCTGTACAGCTTTCACCTGATTCTACTAAGGTCCTACCTTCCGAGCCGTCAACTAGTTCATCTTCTAATTTACCTTTTGCTCTGAGGAAAGATACTCACAACTATACCAATCATCCCATTTTCAATTTTGTTTCCTTGCATTGGATTTCATCATCATTCCTTTGTTTTGCACTACCTTCTATGGTTGTTCCTAGTTCCTTGACACAAGTTTTGGCATATCCTGGATGAAAACTAACTATAGATGAGGAAATGAAAACTCTTCATGACAATCAAACTTGGAATCTTACTTCACTTCCTACTAGGAAGCAGCTCATTAGTTGTCATTAACTATCCACTGTGAAATATCTTTCTATTATGGCTCTGTCGAGCGTTTAAAGTCTCGGTTGGTTATTAAATGTATGGTTGTTAGTATCGTACGATACGTTATGATACGAAGGCAAAACGATACGGATCGTAGATATGTATCGTTTTTGCATTGTATCATTCGATACACGATACATTTTTACGATACAATACGTATCGGTACAATACGAACGATATACGCAAAACCTGTATAATTTTTTTTTTTTGACGGCCTGATTTGTAGATTTGCACCAAATCATTGACAGCAAAAATAAAGATGAAGACACCAAAGCCCACAAATCAGAGAATAGAGAAATGCCAAAGAAAATGCAAGAGATGAAGACAATAATTACCAATCTACCAAACCTACAGACCAGCCAAACACCCAACCAAAATCAAATCAAACAAATTTTTGAAATTAGAAAAAATAGCAACACTAACCGGATGAAACCCTAGGTTGATTTTTAACACTAACCCTTGTCTCACGATCTCTGTCTTCATCGCTGTGAACTGCGACCACGAGGTACCAGCCACTAGATATGTTCTTCTTCTTCTCTCTCTTTCTCCGGCACCGGCATCGCCATTGCGTTTGAGGTCGCCTCTCGCCTCTTCTCTCTGTCTGTGTGTGTGCGATCGTGGGTCACGAGGTGCAGATTTTTTTGTTGTTATAAGTATAAAAATTACATTTAATACCCCATTAAAAAATTACATTTAATACCCCATTATATTATAATTTTTACTTTTAAGTATATATAAGTACTATTAATTTATTTTGATACCTTTTATTATTTTTTTAATATTAGTAAATTATATTGGTGACTTGAATAGTAGGTGGAATATTAATGAAATGTTATATTTTTATAAGTCTATAATTTTTTTTCAAAAACATTTTTTTTATTATTAATTATTTAAAATTGCGTCGTATCTTACAATACACGATACGATACGATACACTATTTTTGAAAAACGATACACCTTCCGATACACGATTTAATAACTATGATCAAATGATACACCCAAACATATGGTGTTAATTACTCTGAGACATTTTCCCTTGTTGCCGACTTAATTCTGCGACTCTGAGTTCATTACTTCCCTTATTCTCGACTTATTTTCTATTAGCTTATTCAATGTTTATTCATCGTTCTATCCGAGGGGTTAACATTTTCATTGTTTATGTTGATGACATTATAATTAGCGGTAATGATTATGATAGTATTGCCAATTTTAAGCTCCATTTGGGAAAGCGGATTCGCACTAATGATCTAGGTCTTTTTTCGGTACTTCCTTGGAATTGAGGTTGCTCGGTCAAAGGAATGTATCAATCTATACCAACGAAAGTACAAATTGAATTTCCTATCTAAAACTGGTACTCTTGGTGCTCACCTTGTTGATACCCCTATAGATTCTACTAGTCGAAAAATTTTTGATGACATAGGCACTATAGGGGATTGATCGGTAAACTACTCTATCTCACAATTACGCATCCCGATATTACATTTGTAGTTGGAGTAATTAGTCAATTTATGCATGCTCCTCGAAAGCCTCGTTGAGAGACTACTTGTCGTATCCTTCAATATCTCAAGGAGTACTCAAAAAATGATTATTATATGGATCTTCACAATGTATAACTATTGTTGCCTTTTCTGATGCTAACTAACCAGGTAGCCATAGTACGATATTCTGCCTTTGCACTTGAATGTGGTATGGGGATTAGTGAGATGCATTGTTATAATCAAACAACTATTTTCAATGCCTAGTAATCTAGTGTTTCATGAGCACACCAAACACATAGAAATGAATTGTCATTTTATTTGAGATCTCCCAATGTGAAAGAAAATTATCACTCCATATATCAAATCTAGTGATCAATTGGGTGATATTTTTACCAAACCATTGTCTTGTGATACCTTCAACAATCTTTGTTCCAAGTTGGTCATTTTTTAACTTTATGCTAGTTCTTATTTTTATATTTTATATTTATTTAGAGTAATATTGTAATTATATTTTATAAGGTTCAATATAAATAAAAGAGTGTAGGGCAACACTGCTCACACAAATTATTCTCTATTGCTCTCTCTTTCTCCATCTCTCTTCTTCTCCCTTTCTTCTTAAATAATATTGTTGTCTTTACTTTTTAACTGTAATATTTGGTTGGAGGCTTGGAGAGCATCTTATTCAAGTTACTCAATGTTAAGAGAAGAAAATTTGGCCAGACATACAAATAGTCCCAAGCTCCTTGAGACTAGACAAGAGTCGGGCCTTGGTCTATGTCGGCCTCAGATTAAAATTTCATCAAGGACCGGCCTTTCAACCCTACCCAAAATATCTACCCCCGAAATTATAGATACTGAACTCATAGGTGCTTACTATGTCACTCAAGCGTCCACCACAACATTCATACCTGCATAAATATCTTCACTGATGTTAACAATGCGAGAGGCCTTGCTGATGCCGCCCCGAGTAATATGGAAAACTCTATCAAAAACATCTGGATGACCATAATGCATACGAACCCTGAACATTACGTACAATTCATGGAATTTATTAGTTTTACAACTAATACAACCAAAATAATCATTTGACATGAACTTACTTCAAAGGATTCGCCAAGACACGCTGACCAAGAGTCACAAAGCTCGTTTCTTGGTTGGACATGAACGATGCTAAAGAAGAGACACTGCATGAAAGAAGTTAAAAATGACATGATTATCTAAACATCGAAGCTTAGAAGTACAGTAATATTATGTGGAGATCAACCTTCCAGTAAATACATGCTCTCTGACACCAAGAATGGTAGGAGGGCGGATACCATGATCACAGTAGAATTCTTCAAGAAGATTTCTCATTTTCAAAGCTTCCTCAAAATAGTTATCCTATAGCAAAAACCATAAGGGTAAATAATTGGAGAAAATGATAGAAGTAGTAAAACTTACATTTTTTAACATATACTCAACTCAACAAAGTCTTGTTGATGTATAGGACAGTTGTGTACAATCAAAATAGGACTGTTTAGGGGCAGTGAACAGTAAAAGAGGCTGTGAACAGTGACGTGAATAGAAATATTGAATAGTTATCACTCGTAAGGTTCCTTAGGCATCACATGTAGGGTTAAAATTGCATCACACAACTCAAAAGAATATAAAGACTACAGTTTTCTGAAAATATCCCTATCTTCTTTATTGAAAATAACAGTAACCATATATAGAGCTTGAAGTTATCTCTAATCCTAAAAAGATTAGGATTTCCAAAGTCAAATTATTTAAAATTAAAAAGCTAATACAAAATAAAATTAAGACTCTAAATTCTAGAGCATCCAACACTAAAAGTTGACCGCGACCCACATGTCAGACTATGACCTATTCCAGTAAATTTAGAAAATACAATAATGCCCTTGACTCAAAAAAATATTAAAATAAATACTAATACTAGTAAATTGACTCAAACTAACTTAAAACACAGCTCAAAATATTGCATCATTTGTCCTCGCAGGCGAACCCCACCACAGTTTTATGAGACGACAACAAAGACTAGAGACAACACAGACTAGGACCGCTATACTTCCTCAAACAGCAAGACTGAGACTGTAATGCATCAAATTCGAAAAATCTAAGGAGACTACAACCAATATGACTAGAACGACATCTTAAAGACTAACAGCTGGAACCTGGTGTCACCTACTCATGCATTACAATGCTCACAAAGTAGAAGTATCTAGACATCTGCCATAATGAGAATATCATGCAAATCAATTCATCAAATAGGACAATAATGCTACCTTATAAAGACTTCGAGAAATCCAATTGATATGTGGTTAACATATTCCATATATGTGTTTACATCTAATGTTATAATGGAAATCAACTTAATTCCTTAGGCAGATACAAATGTCGCATGCACAAGAGAAACACCAACAAATGTGTGCTCCACGAGTGGGCACTGGTGTAACCACAGGTAAACACACACCAAAGAAATTCAAAGGGAAAAAAAGGAACTTGGTAACACGATGTTGGACTTCAAATTTACTATTAACGTCACTATTCACAGCATAATTACTGTTCACGGCTACTATTCACAGCATGCGTTCTTGCTAGATGATATCTGATTTCAGAGGGAAATATACTCTCCTGACAGGTGTAAATCACTGATTCTAATTTTCATTGCATACACCTGTCATCCAGAATTTAATACACTAAACACAAACAAATTCCCAGTGGCCAATCTTCCATGAGAATATAAATGATGAAATGCAATTCGTCAGTCGCAACACAATTCCGACAGTCATTGTATGAAACAATTACTACCTGATTCATATCTATTGTCTGTACTGCATTTCCACGAGTAAATATAATAGCATGGTTTTGATTTTCAGGTTTCCCTTCACCAAGTTTAGGATTTCCAGGCAACTTTACGGAGTAGATTTCCTGCACTTCCCAAAAAATAGAAGACAAAAGAAACAATAGTGAGGTACCTCCATTTTGTCATAGTAAAAGGAGATCATATAAAGGATTCAAAATACATAAAATAATCACCACTATGTGATTCTATTCTTAAATTACTGATGCCATTTATAGATGCAATACTAATTTATTAATCATCCAGTCGTAGCAAGAGGGCTGCCGCAAAGCGGCTGAACATAAATCCAGTTACCTCCCAACTTTGTGGTACTTATAAAAACCTCACTAAAACTAGCAGGGGGAGGGGATAATGAGATTCAAATATATATATAATTGGAGAGTCACGGTAGAATAATTGAGCATATGAGATATACCATCGGGAAAGCAGGACTTACACGAAGAAAATGAAATCATCTCTCGTTGCTTAAAAGATAGATGTACAAAAACATCTAAAATAATAACTATTTTAAATTTGCAAAAGATTTAAAAACTATTCCAAGCCAAAACAGAAACAAGAATCTGAGCACGATACCACTTTAGATATTTAATATTTTCCAAATCATTCTAAACCAAAAACAGAAGCAAAATTTTGAATTACCTTTTATTCTCTGCATTTCCAAGATAATAGCATAAACCACAGTTCGAGAAGGAAAAAAAACAGGTTATAGTAATTCTACAATCTTAGGTTTCACAAGAAAGTACAAGATTCTCCTTTCCTTTTCTCCAACTCTTAGAACAACAAATTAACAATACAACCAGCTATCAAAATCTCTGTAACCTCCAAAATTACGTAGGAGCAGATATTGGCTTTAAACAAATAAACATGATGTTATAAAACAAGCCTATAATGGTCCATACTCCCTAGAAGAGGCCATTAACTGGTATCAGCCCCTTACAAAAGAGCTAAATTTTGGAAATTTAAGCATAAAGTGGCACTTAGACTCAAAATCGCATTCTTACGCTTGGGCACTGGCCTTGGTTTTAATAAAACCCTGATTTTAATCTCAAATGGGTAAATGAGGATACCTAACCTCTTCTAAGTCAAGTAAAATGGGAAAACACCACACTAAACAATATGACATAAAACAAAATAAAAACAGACAAACTTAATAAAGGAAAAAGGTCGTGGTTATTGTATAGATAAATACACAAAAAAGCAAGCAGCAAAGGAAAATATCTAATACGAAATGTAAAATATAGTAAACCTTATCTTTCCCATTTATATCAGCCTTCACGAGTTTTGAGAAATATTCTGTGTGTACTCTACCATCCTTAAGAGTCTCAACATTCTCAATGAAAGCAACCCGAAGAGCTTCATTTCTACAAGAGAAGTGAACAGAGTAAATTCAAACTGCAAACAGCAGTTTTGACATGCATACAAAGTTCCAAGTAAAAAAATGACATGGCGTTTGGAAAGGCCTTAAAATCCTACATTCCAAAACAAACAAAGGGAAGAAATACATATGCAAAACTGAAAACTCACTCTTGCATTAGCAATGCAATATCTGCAGCCTCAGGTTTTTGCTCTTCTTTCTGTTTACCATATATTTGGCATGTAACAACATATGTGAACTTCAGATCTGCCTGAGCCCTTGCTTCAGGAGACAACTCAAAACCTTGGGTATCAGCTGCTTCATTTCCAGAAACAGCAGCTTCCATATCTGACATTTGTCACAAATAATTAGACAAATGATTACGCAAGCAAAAACAAGACATTTGAATTTAGTAGGTTGCACAAACCTCCAGTAGTCACCCTCTCTAAGTAGGATTGAAGCATGAGAGCTTTTCTATAGTACATCATTCCCCGAACTGCAAAAGTTCAATATGGTAATTACTTAAGCAGGCAAACAACCAACACACAAGAGCAAGCATGCATATTTGCATTGAGAATTGGAGATTTGCAATACGGAAAAAGCCAAAAAAAATTATCTCCCAACAACAGAATACATGTCCATGGAAACATTAAGTACAAACAAAGAAGCAAGCAAGAAAAAAAGAGCTGGTCAAAACAAACCTCAAACGCAGACCTAAAATGACAATTAGTTCCACCTCTAAATCCATGAATTCCATATCCAAGAAAAATAAAAGCACACAATTATAAATTCATAGAATCAGACATATTGAAGCATTATTGGAAGTCATTCAAACCAAGGTATGTAAAACAACCAAAATACCATAATATTAGATACCGTTTAATTAAGATCTCTTGATTAATCTAAAGCAATTGTTTGAAAGAGCAACTGAGCTAAGAAAATAAAATTTTCCAGGGTTAAACAGCTATGGTAATCAGTGACAAAAAATAGTCAGCTTGATCACCACTATTTTCAGGAATAGTTAGTTTCACTCAACAAAGTTGCAATGCAATTTCCAGCCAAGAGGCATGGTTTCCTATCTCAAAATAAAATTCAAAAGATGTCCCCAAAATGCCTCAAGTGGAACAAACCATGGAAGAAAAGGTTAAAAATAACAAGTTGAAATGCTCACAACCAGCCAACAAGAATACTGAGGCGAAAAACAAATAGACAAAGAAGATAAGCAACTTACCAGTTCTGGCTAAAGTTTGGCCTCTGTACGAAGCCCAAAACCGGAGTTCTCGGATATCGTTGGCATCTTTAAGTTCTGACTCCAGTGTATTCTCAGGACGACCAATCCGGGCAAGAAAGTTGTTCCATTCATCTGCAAAGAAAAATTTTAGGATTTAGCACAAAAGGAAAAATGTTAAAAAAGGAGCTCGAATCCTATATATATAATTGTCTCAAGATCATCAACAAGTAAGAGGAATTGGATGAACAAGTGAATGAGTTATTCACAAACAAGGGAACAATAAAAAAGGACAATCATGTGGCGCAGAAGAGGTTATAGAGGTATGCCAAAATTCAAAAAACATTTAGACCAGAACTAAGTTGAGAAGCTCACAATCTTCCTTGCTTTTTTCTCCTTTTGATAAACAAGAACCTCACACCCCCATTGTACAACTAGAAGTTACTAGTTCATCGATATCAGGCTTTAAATTTGGTAGACAAGGAATTACCTTAAACATACCAAAGAAGAGTTTCAATTTTCCAAAGAAAAAAGGCTTAATATATCGGAAACCTCAAATCATACAGATGCATATTCGACAACTGATTCTTTCTGAAGCCATCAACAATCTGTAAAGTCATATTCTGAATTACATAGAAGGATTTGCATCTTTTCTCAAGGCCTCAATCAACATCCTTTTCGCTCTCTTCCCATCATTTTGGTACCTTGAAGCTGAATGAAGTAACTCCTTGCCCGTATGTTGGTAGTTTATTGTACTTATAGTCAAATCATCTCAAACACTTTTCCCTCAATATCTCTTTCCTTGGTATCCTTTTCAAACTAATGCACTCAATTCTTAGTCATATCGATGCCATCCTCATCGATTTCCTAAAAAAATTATCTTTTGTTGCAGTGCAACTCATCCATTACAACATCTTCCCTTACCTCCCGTCCAACTTGGCAGGAGTATACAATCACATGAATTCATCTAACCAATCCCACTTTAACTCCATGGACAATTCCATCTCAATCCCCACACGAATAATTGACCAAAGATGCTAAACTATGTTAATAAGTGCCTTAACTCTATTGTTTCTGTATATACTAATTTGCTAAATTTTCTCGCTCCCAGTCTTGACCCAATTCCTTTAGCTGCTTTAGTTTCTCTTCATAGTCACCCTCAAGTTAACTCAAAATGTCCTACCTGCACAACATTAATCCCACTTTATTAAATGTAAGCAAACAACAAAAACTTAACCAGGGCAAGTGGAAAAAATCAGGAATATACAAGCAGTATTTTGAAAAGCTCGCTTAGGCGAGAAGCGAGGCGAAGCGAAGCGAAGGCATCTCACCCTGAGCACACCAGGCGAAGCGAAGATGACTGAAGCAAGAAAAAAACGAGAAAAACGAGCACTTTTCGCATAAGCGAAAAAGCGAACGCCTTAGGTATGCGAGGCAAAATAGTTTTTATTTTTACTGTGGACGGTTGGATTGTTTTATTTTTATTGTGGACCGTTGGATTGGGACAATTTGAAAAAAAATTATAAGATGTCAATACACCCAATTACCCCCTTATCCCATAAAATATAAAACCCAACCCTTGAAAAAAAATTATAAGATGTCAATACACCCAATTACCCCCTTATCCCATAAATATAAAACCCAACCCTAATTTTCAGATCAAACCATCGCTACTTCTCTTTCTTCCCCGACGATCGCTGCTGCTGCTGCTCCTTCTCAGGCGATCGACAGTGCTAATCTTCCCAGTCGATCGCTGCTGCTGCTCCTTCCCAAACAATCGATAATGCTGATCTTCCCAGTCAATCGCTGCTGCTGCTGCTCCTTCCCAGATGATCGCTACTGTTGCTCCAGGTTTGTCTCCTCTTTTTCTTTTCTCTTCTATATCTCTTCTTCCTCCCTGGTTCTTCTTCTTTCTGATTCTGATTCTTTTTCTTTTTTTTCTGCTGCTTCTTCTTCGTTCTGCTGCTGCTGCTTCTTTTTTTTCTCGTTTTTTTGCTTCTGTTTTTTTTCTTCTTTCTGGTTCTGATTTTTTTTTTTTTTTTTTTTGCTTTCCGTTTTTTTTTCCCTTCTTCTTTGATAATGAATGTTGTTGTTTCTTTAATATTTATATAGCTGATTTTAATGCTGCTGCTTCTTCTGAATGCTGTAATGCATAGTGCTAATTTTGCTGAATGCTGAATGTTGTAATGCTGATTTTTGCTGGATGCTGAATGCTGTAATGCTGATTTTTGCTGAATGCTGTAATGCTGATTTTGCTGAATGTTGTAATGCATAGTGCTGATTTTTGCTGCTTCTTCTGAATGCTGTAATGCATAGTGCTGATTTTTGCTGAATGCTGATTTTGCTGAATTTTGATTTTGCTGAATACTAATTTTTGCTGAATTCTGATTTTGCTGAATTCTGATTTTTGCTGTAATTTTGATTTTGCTGAATTCTGATACATAAAATTAGAACTTAGATTGTTTAGAAGTAATTAAATTAAAATATTTATTTTTTTTTAACTGTTCACTTCGCTTCGGTAAAGCGTGTCGCTTCGCTTCTCACTTTACGCCTTAAATAACACTGTATACAAGGATAATCAAAGGAAGCTATGAAAAACTAACTAAAAATCTTTTATTTTTGTATTTTTTATCTCTTCCAAATGCCATAAATTTCAAAGGCATCCTCCTAGATACTATTCTCATTGTTTTTTCACCCGATCAGCTTCTCCTCAAGAACAGTAGTAACTTTTACTGGCGATAATATTAAATTAACCTAAACAAGTCCATAATGACCGCAAGCAATGCTCAACTCCAAAACACCATTGTTTCTGCAATACAGTTTTTTAGTGCCCCTTCTTAAGTGGTAAATTTTTTTTCAAGGTGAACGAAGTGAACATCCTTTAACAGATAGAAAGTAAAAAGACAAAGATGAAATTACCCAAAAGACCATAATACGATTTCAAAATCACATATAACAGGGTCAAACTTCAGCCTAAATGACAAACCGGCAATAATCCAAAGGAAAGAGCCAACACACAATATGCGAAGCAATCACTTGTCCAAAAAACCAACAGTTCTTTCGAAGAACAATGATGGACAGCAAATATGAGCATCACTCATAGATTCCATTAATGCAAGTACTCAACAACTGCTGACCTCAAATGACTTTTCTTACTACTGAAGTGAATATCAAGTGACTCCAAAAGTTGCATCTATCTTCAGCCAAGGAATGAACTTCTCCATTCGATTCCAAACAGGAATTGAATGAAGAATAGAAAACAAATCAACAATTACATTCAAGAGTTAAAAAATTATCCCAAGAACGCAAAGTTTGAGTATTTTCCATTTAAGAACACAAGAATAATATGAAAATAAACCTCAAGGCAAACAAAGGAAAAAGCACCTCTAAGGCCATCAAAAAGGGTCTACTATCAGCCATATTGGCATAGTTACACCAGAAAACTTAAAAAGGGTGAAAAATAATTCCCGCTATTCTCATATCATCCCTTCAGTAAGAAACAGTACTAGCTTATCACCTAGTGACCATAATATTCAATTTAACGTCCGCCTAAACGGACGTTTCAAAGCAAAGTAAGGTTGCCTACAATATCGAGCAAAACTAGATTCTCATCATAGTAGCCATAGGATTCAATTTAATGCACACCTAAACGAAGTCTTCCAGGCATAATAAGGTTTTTGGGATACAAGGGAAGTTTCATCCTTCCAATGTAATTAAAGCCTTCAACATGTCCACAATTCGTGATAAAAAAGGCACATTTTTAGGGCATAAATGGATGGTAATATCCATATTATCTACCAACCAAGATATTCAAGGGCCGTATTACATGTCTTTTGTTGAGCCCAAAAATAGATATTAGAGGTGTTAGAGTTCGTCTTTACGTTACTAGTCACAACAAACTAGTGGAAGCCAGTATTGTAGTTACCATCAAATCTGTATAATATAAATAAAAGCGTGTAGGTCAAGACACTAGATACATCCAATCTCTCTCTCTCTCTCTCTCTCTCTCTCTCTCTCTCTCTCTCTCAAAATGCTAATTTTAACTTGGTACCAAAGCAAAATCCAAATGTTTTAACTTTAATTTTTTTTAATTCTGATCATGAGCAAGGCAGCAGAAGAAACCGAATAAGTCCAGCTGCTGATGTCATCACCGAAAACCGATGTCATATTAGTGTCACCAGTTTCCGGTGACCAAACCCTATGCCCAAGAACGACTTCTTGCCTTCGTATTTTTGGTATTTTTTCAAAATTTTTTAAGCCCATTCCGATCAACTTTTCCTTGAATGTTTTTCAAAATCTGGCAATCAATTATTCGATATGGTTCTTGGAACCAATCCATGAGTTTTTTATGCATAGTACCTCTTCAGAGGGGTTCAACTAAGAGCCTAGAAGGTGTTTGTGAGGCCCTATCTTGTTTTGGGTTGATTTTCAAAGTTTTTTTTATCGCTGAAAAATCATCAGAACCACATAATACCTGCATCCTTCTGTGGGTATTTTTTTTTTATAAGAAACAATTTTATTAATAGCCAAAACAAGGTGTTTGTGTTACATAATCCAAATGGACAAGATGTCCATTCCCAAACATGCAAAAAACAGGAAACAAAACAAGGCTCTCATAAAATAAATGAGCCTTCCTAACAACCACATGTTGTGAGTGTTTTTCAGCCTTTAATTGTTTAATTGGAGTTGTGGATGGTTGATTCTGGAGACAGGAGCAGATTTTCTGTGGTTAATTTTGTTTTTTGAATTGGTTTTTGTTACTGTTGCCACTTGGTTCATTCAGATAGCTCTATGTCTGCTTCTGCAAATATCAAAAATCATTCAGTTGATGATCCAATTTGAAAGAGAACTTATGCAATGTAGTATGGTAGTAATTACAATTTATGCGTCCACACAATCACAGTTTTCCTGCATACAATAAATAATCAAGTGTTTATCTAATACCCAACTTCAGAATTAAAGAACTCTGAACATTGGTGGAGTAAGTATTTCTTGGTGATGACTTGGGGCTTAGTATGGACCCTTATGTGGTATCTAATATTCAAATGCTTGACATGACCAAGAAAATATAAAACTCTCTTAAGGAGATATATCCTCAGTTCCTCACAAACATAATCTGTCATACATCAATGAGTTGTTTCGGCGTATACATGATACCAAACAAGGTGATAAACCTCTTGCGGAACATTATGCTGTCTTGAAAAGTTTGTGGGAAAAACTTATGATTTACTAGTCACTGGCTACTGGTTTAGCGATTCAGTGATGACAACAGCATGATAAGTATTAGGGTGCCTTGATATTGTCAAATCTTAACTTAGAGTATAACGTGTTTAAATGTGAGAATTTGGCTAGTGACAAACTTCTGAGTTCCGACTACAGCCAATGCTTATACTCACTTTCAGTGTGCTTTGCTCAATCGCGGGACTTTTTCACCCTCGTAGGAGTCCTCAGTTACTTTAGTTGTGCCACTAGGAATAGTGGTGGTCGTGGTGTTGGACGTCGATTAACACTAGATGGTAGTCATAACAGTAGAGGCATTAGTGGTGGAGGACGCGCCTTTCCCTGTTTTTCTCTTCCCACAACAAGAAAGACACACGGAAGAGGAATGTCCAGCATGCAGAGGATCTGTTGAGATTTTTTCTTAGTACGAACTTTATGATCTTTTCCCCTATTTTAGTGAATCAATAAAAAAGAATAGGTCAGTGTCATGGCCTGCATTAACCCGCTATCGATAATTTAGTTTCATCTACTTCTGTTTCTTACAACAACCTTACCATTTAGCTCAATCAGAATCATGAAGCAGTTGTCTTCAATTTCTCCCCAATCATGAACCAAAATGGCCAATTTTGCTAAAGTAATTTTGCATATGTGGCAACTCAATCAACTTCGCCATCACAAATTATTGCTTTGGGAGTTGGTGTTCACGTATGAGATATTTTCTCCCTATTCTCTAATTTTTGTTCTTAT